AAATTATTGCAACACTTTTTAAAAATTTCTATACTAACTTTTTAATCTGTATGACAAGACAAACCAGCCAAGCTCCTCTGAGATAGAAGTGAGACAAGCAGGAGTGGTAACTATGAAAAGGGGTTTTATATATGAAGCAGTTTCGGAGCAAGATAAGAAGGTAATGACTGGCCCAGCAATGAATGGAGTGACGTCACTGAGAATGACCTTCGAAGGTATCTGTGTGCAGCTGGTCGATTTTTTTCACCCTTTGGGAACCACAGAAGAAGTGCCGTGTGTCACAACAAGTTTGTGAAGCCGAGCATAAAGTTTTCAGCCCACTCTTGTAAACCAAGGTCAACCAAAAGTGTGGTCCACTGACGACTGCAGCACAGACACGCAAGATATTACTAGTTAGTGCACTCTTTGATTTAATGGGACATACTCATCTAAACTGGTGTGACCCGTAAAGCAACAAGTGAGCCAAACTGATGTAAAGAAACCAAACTGTAAAACAGAAACATGTCTGTCTGAGAATATCTGTTTATTTGTCACAGAAGAGGAAGGCACTTCCAGCTCCGACAGCGGGACGAGGTTGAAGGAGAACTCATCCCATTGTCCAGCTGATGTGGGGCGGAAAATGAGGGCAGCAATTCTGGAATGCTATAACTACCCCTGCTGCTCCTGCCCCTTTCTCTTCTGTCACACTGTCCATCTGATTAAAAGAAGTCATTTTCAATACTTAAATTTTGCTTCTAGGCTTCACTCCAAAGTTTTTTTTCTCCCCAGCACTCTAAATAAACATGCTTTCTATACTGAGAGTAGGATGGCAAACAAGCTCTCCTTTGATCTTAAACTCGTGATGTGAAACTAACATGTCACACCTAAGGTGATTGTTTCAGGTCTGTAAAACACAGAAATTATTATTTTTTTTAAATACAGAAAGCAATCCATTACCCAATAAGCGACTAAACAGTGTTCACTCTGGAGATCCAGAATCTTAACTATGAGTATTGCAACTTTAATAAGAGACCAGCTTTGCTTGCACAGCTATATCTGGAGCTTTTGTAATTTCATGAGAGACGTGCTACCCTGCAGTTATGCTGACGAGCCTGTGGCCTCAAACTCAATTCTCAAAAGGTAAATTGAATTGAAGCTGCTTTCATTTTAAGACCTAAGGTGGAAAGGAAAAGAAAAAAAGAATTAGGACATCAGAATGGGCGAGGAGAAAAATTAAACAACGACAACGTGTGAAATCACATGTCTCTGCTGACTCAGAATCCACATGGATAATGTGATAGCGTCATCTCTAGACTGGCCCAAAAATGACACAGCTGGAGATGGCAGACAAGGGTGATGGCAACATGTGCCAAAAACATATCCTTAGGGTGTAAAAACAACCCTTCATGCCAAAACGTAAGCACTACAAATACGTAAGCACGTGCTATGCTTTTAAGTAAAGCCAGTCTTCTCTCGTTCTCGTACGAGAACAGCTTTGCATGAGTCACAGTTCAAAACAAACCTTGTTTATCCTATACTGGTCTTTGGTTTCACTCCTCAATTAATAAACACCCGAAACAATTCATTTAGCTGCTCTCCCTTTAAACTTTCTTTTTATTGGCTACCAAAAGCAAACAGAAGGTTTGAAGACCAAGTGGGCGGAGCTTCTGTCCTCATAAAGCCACAAAACTGGACTTGGCAGAAAAAGTTTTTCTAATTACACATCTTAAGCAGAAAAATAATAATGTGCTTTACTACTTCTGTAAAAAATAAAAAAAAAATTAAAAAAAATAAAGCAATAATTAAGATTTTTGCTTCCAAAACAGAATTTTGATTAAAGAACTTTTAAAGAACAGAAACATAAAAATGATTTTGGTTACCGATGCTGTTAATTTAGGGCAGATGTGCCATAAACCCTACAATGCGCAGGGGTCTAATAAATTTGGTAAGCATTGTATAAACGTCTTAAGAATGAAAATATAAACGTCTGTGTGCTGAATGAGGTTGAAAGCGATGGAAAACAGCCAGACACTAAACAAGGAAGAATCAAAACACCATATCTGAAAATATTTGCCTTTAAAAAACCCCAAACAAAACAAATCAATTCAAACTGTCATCAACTCATTGCTAGTTGGACTATTTGAGAGCTAGTTTACAGCATGCTATAAAGCTGGCATATGGATGCTGTAAAGACACATTTAATCCTCCTTTTCTTGCAAGTGAATCATAAAGTTTTACAGGACTGTCCTGCAAATCACAAATGTGATCATGTAAGCAACAGAGATGCAAGTGCTGTACTCTCTCTTCTGCTTTTAAAGGACAGTCAGGTACTCAGTCCTCAGAGTATACTCCCTCTCCATTACATTCTTGACATAACACCAAGCCCTCATCCTCTTTCACCCTCAAACAAACACCCATTTATTCCTCTTCTCAGGCCAAAGGAGTTCATTGGCATAACAATGTATAAAAAAATGACACAAAAGTAGGAGCACATAAATACACCCCTCCCTTTTCCAAATTCCTGACACTGGTCTCTCTGTCCTTTACACATACAGGGGCGGAAAGTGTGTCAGTGTGGGAGACTCACTTTATGGCGTTTTATCTGCACACTTGAGTGTATCAGCTGCTTGTACGTGTAACACGGCACAGGTCTTTATCTGTTAGTCCAATGTGAGGCATTCCCACCACATTACGAGTTCTGAAACTGTACCCGAAGCTTTGCAGGCTCAATGCTATAATTAGTGAAATTCATGACCCAATCCATGAGCCTTTCCCCACCTCAAAACTATAATCTGCTATTCCTTCTTGCCCGTGTCATCAGTTTCACATGAGCTGTGAAGAGAACAAAAGAAGGTGTACTCTAAATGCATGTTTATCCATTGTTTACCCGGGTTCAATCCTTTAATGGTTTCCCTACAGTTGCATTTATCCCTTTGAGCTATGTGCTAAAAACCTTCCTCCTGTACCGTTGTTCCAGTGACAGATCGCCTGGTCTCACAGGTGTACACAGAAACACCTGGCTCATTTCTAAACAACTTAATGGTTTTAAAAGTTAAACCTCTGACATTAAGCCTACCTTCGCTATTCTTACAGTTGTCTTAAAGAGACGTATTATTCTGTTTTATTTGTCATTTGGTTCCCCTCATTAACGGGCAAATCCAAAAGTTATCTTGGAGTAACGTTAGCTGGTAGCGCTGTTTCTCTCGAACCATCGTTAGCTGCTCAGCTACACTGGCTCACAGTGACACAATACCAAAATAAACTATTAGATAACTGCCATAAATCAAAAATAAGTGCCGTTTGGCAGCACCAGAAACCCACAAAGCGTCAAAGTAACTGTCCGAGGAGCGGCGCCTGTCTGGTTTAGCTGTCTGGCTATGAGAAGTCCCAAACCCAGCGTGAACTTACCTCTTTTTTCTGAACTTAATCTTCTGCTCCTCTCGTATCCTCTCGCCTCCTGTATGCCGATAATAATTTAGATATATTGACTGACATCCATTAAAACCCACACGGAAACGTGAACAGAAATACCTAACTCCTACGGAAATTATCACAGCAATAAGTTCATTATGCTGCTGCTGGGAATGCAACCTGTTACCTTTTTGTCAGGGATGTAAACGTTCCGCCCAGCCCCGCCAAGCACGGCGCTGCGATTGGACCGTTTCGCTGGCTTGGGCGGGGCTATTGATACTGTCTAGGGTTGTAATTGGTGAAACCTCCATGCCAATCATTCCTTGTTTCTGTACCATTTTTTCACCTTTTTTGCTGAAAAATGGAACTTGTATTTTTTTTCCAAATAATGACCCGCGTAACCTAGATAAACAAGACTCTTCAAGGACTACTGATTGATGCAGGTGCCTCAAAACGTTTATTTCTCCTCTTGACCAGTAGATGGCGCAGCCGTACACCAGCTGGTTCTTAAGGGTGGCAGTTTGCTAGATAGCGTGTGTGAAAAACACACCTATATATTTAGACTATGTCTGTTCATAAGATGGTCGCTTAGGTTTAAGTTGCTATTTTTTTTATTATAATTCATAGTTTCTTTCTTTAATTTTATACTAAGTTAGTATTAATAGTATCGATACCAACGCTGGTATTTGTATCAGATTGATATTAGTGCAAAGGACTGACACATTTTGATTTGTTTCTATCCTGTAAGTTCAGTGTGTAGCCCACGAAATTTTGTTAAACACTTTTTCTTAAATGTTTGTTAAAATATTTTTTCAACTTACACTGGGCTGTAGCACTTTGCTATCATAGCAACAAGATTGTAGATGGCATCGGTTGGTGTCTTCCAACCAAAATTGTGATTTTTTTTCCTTCCCACTGTCACCAAGTGCTTGCTCATAAGGGGTCATGTGATTCTTGGGATTTTTCTTACTAATACTGTTGAGTCTTTATATAAATATAAATCACATTGAGTTAATTATTGTTGAGAATTGACACTATATAACAAAATTAAATTGAAAATTGAGAGCTTGAAAAGAAGGCAACAAGACTTCTTTAGATTTATGAGCATGTTTCGCCTCTCATCGAAAGGGCAGAACTGAAGAAGCCTCGTGCACAAGAGGGGAAACATCTTCATGAACCTAATGAAGTCCAGTCTACTATGACCTGGATAACTAAGAACCTACAGACATATTTAAACTTCACTTTTCCATTTTAAGCACAATTTTTGACATTGTAATAGGTTACCCGTGTAACTTTCCATTTAAGAAATCATGGGAACATCCCTGAGTGTAAAAAACATATAAATAAATATAACTTTTATGTCCTTTGTTATCTTTTTCTGTTGCAATGTTATGTGTGTAGAGCTGAGTTGAACACAGTTACTAAACTTATTATGTGCTGAAGAATAATAATAATAAAAAAAGGTTTTAGAGGTTGGGTTCTGGAAATAAAAAGTTTTCATGAGATTTACAATCTTCCTTGTTGAGTAAAACTGCCACTCCGCCCTGTGCGCGCAGCTCCTCCCCAGAAACCAGCGACATCCCCCAGTCTGCTCACTCCAACTTTCCTCTCCTTTCACTCCTCTCATCACTTCGCCTGGTCGACAGACTGGACGCACCATCTCACGCTCCGGGAATGGGATCTTTACTGGGTTCAAAGAAAAACTTCCAATTCTTTCGAGTTTATGCTCTGCAAAAGTTACTTTTCAAATTGCAGGGATAGTTGTTACTGCAGGTGCAGGGTGACAGCAACACAGAGCAGCTGGCTAATGATCTCCAAGACGCACCAGAAGTTGTGAGAGAGTCGCAGGAGCTAGGAATCAGCATAGAATCATAAAGTAGGCTCTGCTTAACGTGATTAGTCAGATACCCTTGCATACCAAAGTTACTTCAGTCGAAGTGTGAACAAAGTGAGTGTGCGTAAAGTTGGAGCTGTTGAGAACGGCTAAAAGTAACTTTTAGGGGGAGGCTAATGCAAGGAGGTGGGGAAAAATCCAGTAACTTTTAGTAACTTTTAAAATCAGTAAGAAGTGTCATCAACTTAACAACCATGGCAAAATGGTTCAGAGATTTCCCCATCAACCTGAAGAACGGAAATGAAAGAGTGCGCTCAGCCTCCGAATCTGGTCCACAAACTCGACCCAAACCTTCATTTTCACGAGACAGTTTGAAAGGAAATCAGCGCAGAGATGGGGGAGTGGGGGGTTTGTTGGCAGGGAGAAATAGAAAGAATTCGGCTACAGAACTGGGTCGTAACAATGCTGGTTCTGGTGGAACAGTCTGGGACAGTCTCACGGCTGGAAAAGGTCGCAAGAACGCCAAGAGCGACACCGGGTCATCGGATGAGAACCGCCAGGTCAGGACCTCTAGTGTGGCTCAAGCGTACATCAGCAGGATGATCAAAGTGGACAAACAAGAAAAGACCCCCAAACTCAATGGGATGTGTCAACAGAAGCTACCTGAGAACGAGAAAGGACGATCTGACATTAAAACAACGGTGAGTAACTTATAGAAATTATATAACATGCACATATAACAAGTCTTCATATTTCAGCAGCTATTTATTTATGAATTAGTTAATGAAAACATCATTATAGTACAGGGCTTAAGGTCAGTGCTTTCCTTTGTGTTTTCCGTCCATGTCTCAGATCATAACACTGTATTCAGTTTCCATCGTTGTCAAAAGAATACAATACAGTTTCACTTCATTGTTTCAGATCACACAGGCAAACACAATGCGCTGACCTCCTTGCACAAGTATTTCCGCTTGTCCCTCCATTACTTGTCACTCAGTCATGGACACCACACACATACACACACGCACACACACACACACACACACTGCTTGTTGTCTCTGTGACTTTTGAATAGGTAGCAGGCCGGCATTGTGCTTTTCCCTTTTCAACAGCTGATTATCCTGGAGGACTATGCAGATCCTTTTGATGCGGAGAAAACCAAGGAGCAGAGAGAAGCCGAGAGAGCAGGAGTGAATGATGGGTACATGGAGCCTTATGACGCCCAGGTCATCATCACAGGTGAGGTCAGGGTCACATGATCTCGTATCTCAGCAGCCAAATTTTTATTAGGAAGGTGCTTCTTGGCTTTCCAGAGATTTGGACTGTTTTCTCAGCAGTTGAGCAAATGTGAACGACATATTTTTGTGAATTTAGCAGAAGAATTCAGTCGTAAAGTTAGGCCTACAGCACATCTTTAAACAGAATGGCAGAGCCGCTTATAGAAACACAACAATAACACTAGCAATGTCCGTTCCTACACCTTCACCTTGTATTTTTTTCTTTTATTTGACCATCTTTTGTTTTTCTGAGAACTTAATTCCACTTTTTTAACATTTTGCCTCACTTTGTATATCATGCTTGATAAGCCAAATGTATTCTGAGCAGCACATAAAGGAACACTAATTATACATCTTATTTAAGTTTCTCAGCACTTAGACCACATCACATTCTTGTTAACTTATCATTTTAAAGGGACTGAGAGCCGAGCTAGATCCTCAGTCTCTCTACTGACTTCCCTCCCCGCTGGCGGTGGCTATAGTAACAGTGTTGTGCAGGGACAATGGGTGCAGCTTCCTCTTCCAGCTTCCTGTCTCCTGCCTCTGTTTCCTTTGCCCCATTCTCTTGATAGGACATTGGCCCTAATGCCCTCCTGCCTCCCCTTCCACACATACACAAACACACAGAGACAGACACCAGCTACTCTATGGTCCCCTGCATGTGACAAGAATCGAAAGCCCCCCTCTCACCCCTCCCTAAAAGCCTACAGGTTTCCCCCCCCGGTCTCACCCAATCACTTCCCAACAGTCAGGAAGCGGTCCGGTTAGTCAGCCAATCAACGGCTGTGTTGACCTTTTCTTCCTGTAAATCCATTGTTTGGTCACACAATAGTGTAGACACACAGGCTACCTGCCGGGCACCAAATGAAAAAAAGAAAAAGGAACATAACAATTAAAATTCCCCGAAAATGTTAAAAAAAGACAATATTCAAACAATACTTGATTTATTTAAAAGAAACGAGCAAATGAAGGACACAACAGTGGAGTCTATATATGTAATCGGCACAATGTTGCTTTATAGACTGTGTGATGTAAACTCCTAATTTGTGCACTTGAGTGAAAGCTGGTAATAAACTAAGGATGTTTCTAAACTTCAGTTTTGTTGTTTATTTTGTCCAAAATATCTGATTTGGACTATAGTGGTTATGTTTGAAATGGCACGTAAATTATTTCAGTAAAAGCACATTTATAATTTTTTTTCTACTGTAATTTAGTTGTTTTTCTGTGCCTTTAGCTGATCAAATCTTATATACAGTTAGCTAATCACATATCCATTCTGCTGCAGAGGTTCGTAGACGGGGCTCCAAAGACCTCCTGAAAGTGTGTGTCCTGTTGGATCGAGGCCAGAGCGAGGGGAAGGCAGAAGAGGGAATGCCTGCACCCCCAAACATCTATGACATACCCTACGAAGGAGGACTGGAAGGCGACAGTGAGGGCGTGTGGATCCCTGTCACACGACCGGAGTCTGATGTCCGTCCAGCTGGAGAGTACGAGCTGCCGTGGGAGTGGAGAAAGGAGGACATTGTTAGAGCACTGTCAGGTAGAGAAAAGGAGGGAGGGATCACGGGAAGGGTGGGGGTTTAGTGTTTAGGGTGTGGAGGAATAACGTGGATTTTGTTTGTACAGCACACACATAACAGCAATTTTGTGTTTACTTTATTGAGGAAACAAAACAATCCTTCTGAATTAATTTCCAGAGATATGTTTACTTTGGTATCACTGGCATGCTTTGATAGAACTTTTTATGAAAGGTTGATATTGTCTCTCCTGCTTCTTTTAGCTCAGTTTGAAGCGGTGGATTGTTCTCTCAGTAAAGAGAACAATTCGACCCCTGGTCGCCAGCAGCAGCAGCAGCAGCAACAACAACAGCAGCAGCAGCAGCAGCAGACCCTGAGGCAGAGGAACTGGAGCCATAAAACACTTGTCTCCTCTTCTCCTTCATCTTCCTCCTCCTCTTCCTTTCCATCTTCTCCTATTCTTAAACTCGCCCCTCTTACACAGCCATCTTCCTCCTTTCCTACCCTCAAGCTCTCACCCTCGTCCAGCCCTACCAAACTTTCCCCTCCATCTCCTACCTCTCCCATTCCCCCACTGGATGGGGAGGCGAACAAAATGGACCCCAGCGTGCCCCTGGAGAAGCAGAGGTAAGGAAGGGGGGGGGGAAAGCATATTTGTGTCCATAAGTAAGGACTGAAACAAGTAACGTTTTGAGTAACAAATGAAGAACACGATGACGGCAAGCCACCAGATTTATTACATGGCGGTGTTGTCATGTTCAAAAATAGTACGTGCATTAACAGAGACATTTAAGACAGGTTTTTGAAACACAAAATATACTAAAAAGAATTACATTGAATAAAAAGTCAAATAAACAAATCTGCAGTACTTTAAAAAGATTACATAACTGTATAAAATTTATTAGACCTTCATCTCCAGAAGGAAATTCCCTGTAAAATATACATATACAGTGATATAGATACCTTATTTGTCAGCTAGCATGGTGTTATGTGAATATGTTCAGGGTTTAAATCCAACCTGTTAAGCCTAAAATATTCCGCAGGGAAGAGTCTTTTCTTTTTATGTATCATTTCTTTAAAAGACCTGTGACCTACCTCTCACCTCTGCATGCTGAAATCAAATTTAGCACCCACTACAACATCCCTGAACAGATTTAGTGGTTGAAAGGGATTAAACAAATGAGACGACAGGTTAAGAAATCTGCTCACCTTTATCTCAGATCTGTGCATTGTAGGTCTTAATTTAAATTAATCACATTTCCCAAAGCATCATCAGGGTAAAGTGCACCTCATATTTGCTTGCTCTGTAGCTCCACGCGGCATTTTTTAATTTATTTATGATAAGCCTACAATTTTTAGAAGAGCCCTCCCTTCCCACCTCCATCTACCCAATTGTTTGGCTGAAAATCAGTTTGACGTTGTAAAGGTTAAAAGAAATCAAGGAAATTTCCATCATGAAGAGCTGCAAAGCCAGATACAGTACAGTATAAATACAGGGATACATAATATATTACACATGGAAGTGCAGATAATTCTTAGTGAAACTAAGCTTTTGATACCAGACGGGTAAGTCAGCAACAAACCTCCCGATGAGACGCTGAGCATAAATGTTGGATGAGAGGTGCAACCTTAAGGTGAGACAGAGAAGTCTCACTGTAACTCTAAACTTTCCTTCCCCGTAATATTAAAGGATGGCGTTTCTTTTTTGAGGGGACTTAGCATTTGTTCTTCTCATGTTGTGGTTGAATGTCAGTGTGTTTTGGCTCCTGGCATCCTGTTTATGTATGGTTCCTGCCCGTGGCCACTGTCAACACCACCTTGTGTCCTAATAGGCCTTTCTGGACACCCTACAGAGTCACATACACGTTCATTTTATTTACCTTGGCGTCTCCAGTTTACCTTTGACTTTGTTGACTCATTCCTTCTGCAGTACATACCTGTCAGTCTAATTTGCACTGACTGTAATTTATTGTCAGCGAGTTTTTTTTCCTCCTGTCAATCTGTCTCTTTTTTTCCTCTTTCAGTGATATCATGAACTTGGCATCTCTCTTAACTCCATATGTCACAATGCTATATGTCACTGATCTGTTGTGTTTCTCTCCGCACCCTGATCCCCGCTATCTCCCTCCTCCATCGCCTCAATGCCAAGCTGGTACCATGGCAGTGTGAGTCGGCAGCAGGCTGAGGCTCAGCTGCAGCGCTGCAGGGAAGCCAGCTTCTTGGTGAGAGACAGCGAATCAGGAACCAGCAAATACTCTATTGCTCTGAAGTGAGTGCACGCTGTCATACAGCATTGTCATGAATGCGCATAGATTTCATAATCAAATCCGTCTTTCCGATTTCCTTCCTTTGATTGTACGCAAAAAATTGTAAATATTGACACAGCACATTTATCCTCTGCTGTCACATGTATTTTACAGCTTAAAATTGTATGCTCTCATTTGCCATTAAATACATTTAGGCGTTGTTTCTCACTGACATTTTACCCAGGTCCGATTAAGCCAGATTTTAGCTTTTTTTTGAGGCACTGCTGAGGAGCTACAATAGCTGCCATTGTAGTGGAAACCTCTAAGGTGTTAATGCATGAGAATGTGTGTCATTTGTAGAGTAGACACTTCCAACAAGCGTGCCAGGAACAGGTTCTCCAGGATAAAGACTGAAATCCTGTGGTGCCATTGTGTGTGGGAGTGTGTGCGTGCGTGTGCTCATGCGCCTCAGTGCACATTTGTTGTACGCTGCTCATTCATTTGAGAGTCCACATCATTAACCCCATTTAAACATCCACTGAACTCAGAGAATGCACAGCCTCGTTTCGAGAGAGATAATATTTCCATTTTTTTTCATCTCCTCCGGTTGTGTCATCTGTGTGCAGGACTGTCTCTTCGGAGAAAACTGATGATAAATACACATTTTAAAATGCATCTTTCTCTCTGTCTCGTTCCACTAGGACCAGCCAAAGCTGCGTGCACATCATTGTGGCTCAGACTAAGAGCAGTAAGGGCTTGTGCTACACGCTGGATCAAAGCAGCTGCGTTTTCTCCAATATCCCTGAGCTGGTCTACCACTACTGCACACACAGACTGCCTTTCACTGGAGCAGAGCACATGACCCTGCAGCATCCTGTGCCCAGGCCACACTGAAGATACACAAAGAAAGACACACTCAGACACAAACACACATACTCGCACACATGCACAGACATTTAGACACAACTCTGCACAGGCACGTACATAAATATGTTGATATATGTGCACACACACACACTCAAAGACATGCTGCTTTGGATTCTCTTTTCTGCCCTTACAGTTTATAGTTTTTATCACCAACATGCGCTACCTAGTGGTCGAAATCAGACACTACAAGTAAAGACCTGAATATTTTACCATTTAAACCAACAAGGCTTTGATTCCTGAAATCACCACCTGAAATGATATGTGTATCTATAAATGAAATTTCAGGTGGACTCCCCTTTGCCTTCAAATCTGACTTAATTCTTCATGGCATAGATTCAACAAGGTGCTGGTAACATTCCTCAGAGATTTTGGTCCATACTGACCTGATTGCAGTACAGAGTTGCAACAGAGTTGTCATTTCTAGTGATTTGAACAATGCTCAGTTAGTACTACGTGGGCCAAAGCGTGCCCTTAAATACCATTACACCAACACCACCAGCCTCAACTGTTGATATAAGGCAGGATAGATGCATTCTTTATCCCACTGTTTTGCTATATTCTGACACTACCATCAGAAATTGAGACTAATCAGACCAGGCAACATTATTCAACCTGTTGTCCAGTTGTGGTGAGCTTCTGCAAACTGTAGCTTCAGGTTCCTGTTGTTAGCTGACAGGAACACTAGGACCAGCCCATCAAGCACCAATATTTGAGCCACAACCAAAGTCACCTTCTTAAGTCACCTATTTCCCCGATTCTGATGCTCAGTTTGAACTTCAGCAGCTTGTGTTGACTATGTGTACAAACCTAAATGCATTTGGCCGGTGCTACGCAATTGGATGATTAGATACATTAACAAGCAGTTGGACAGGTGTACCTAATAAAATGGCCGACTCTTGTTAGTCTCTCAGTGTGGTCGATACACCCAATTGGAATACATTCACTCATCCATCTGACATGTCAATCAGCCTATTGAGCTATTCTTAAAACTGGGCACATTTGCCGACCACTTCTAATGTCAAGAGAAAGAGCTTTATTGATTGGATGATTAAACCTGGTGTAGCGAGAGGAGTCTTATCACATTAAAGTGCCCTGTCAGCAAAAATGGTTTTAGTATGTATAAGTGTTCTCTACTGCAAATATGTGAATATCAGCCTTTATTTACCTTCCTTCACAATCAATTAAATACTGTATGAATTATGACTTAAAATCTGTCTTCCTTTGCTGTGAATGACCTGCACCTGTGCATAAACACTACATGTATGGAGCGATTGTTGGCTATCCACTGTTTTTTTGCATCCCTGTTGCAATGTTGTGATCTGTATATTAATGCTGTAAAACATTTATTCGGTAAATAAAGTACAATTCATTTTGAGTGAAGAAAAATAGTGTTATTCATAGATACAGAGATTGCCAGGAGCAAAAAGTCAAAGGAGGGGGGGTTCAAGGAAAAAGGCAATATGACAGAGATGAGAAGCTAACCAGAGTAAATCTGCTGGCTGTTCTTCTGTAGCTAGAAAACCCATTGACCTGAGTTTGAAATCAAAACAACACACACACGCATGCATGCATGCACATATTTGTCATAAACAAATTACTGACAAACATGAGCACACATACACCCAGAATGCATATGTAACTAGTGCACACATAAATAGCATTTACTCACACAACCCCAAAGGTGCCATATTTAAATCCTTGCCAACACACGCGAAGCTACTCACAAAACAGGAAAAAGCTTTACCCTCGCAGTGACGCATGGAAGCGTGTGTTTGTGCTAAGATATGTCTTACCAGCAAACACCAGTGTGCTGAGTTGCATGAGCATCTCTTACAGAATGTGTGTGCATGACTGCATGTGCAAGCATGAGCATGTGCACCCATGTGTACACACAGTTCCGCTCTGTCACTGTGTGTGCGTATTTGCGTGTGTGTGTGAGAGAGACATTTTTCTGTTCAGGGATTACCATGTTGCCATGGTGATTAGTTAGAGTGAGGTAGTGCTGTCCCTACAGGGAATGATGAGAGGGAGGAGAGAGGAAGAGGGAGGAGAGACAGGCTGCAATATATATAAGAAAGCTATGAATAATTGTAGCCATAGTAGCATCAAAGGTCCCCCACAGAACAGACTGCCTGGTTTGTGAATGGAAAGCTGCAACATGTAACGTCGCAGAAGTTAAAAACTAATTAACTCCATTTACTGCTAGCTCATAAATAAAAATTTATTGATTGTGTGACGCCTCCTTAACTGGCCAAAGTCTGTGGTCTGCTCTAAAACAAAACATCTAGCACTCGCTGATACTTCAGCAACTCAGATGCTCAGTTTTGCACAGGCTTTATTTAACCTAGACATTCCGGTTCAAGGGCTGTCCCTAATCTTGGCTATCCTGCTACCCAGTGTGTCACAAATGGCAATGTTACACAACAGACAGCCCTAACTATTTTGCCCTTCCTGCCATCCATGTGATCTGTCGTGGTTAGTCCTGTATGTCCTCTTAATTAAATCACAGAGCGGGTCAAAATATACAAGAGGCCTGGGGTGCTGGATGCAGGATTCTGGGCAGTCTGTTTTGGGGAAAGTTGTTTCTGGTATTCATCCAGCTTAACATCTTAGATGCTTGTTTGCCTTTTGTTGGCCTTTAATATCATTGGTACCCAGTGAAAAGCATATGTGCATCTGTGATCATGGGCATGTTTTATCGTGCACTGCTCAGTTTAAGATCTTTGCTGTTTGCATATAAGATGTCTTCTTTAGCAGTGGTGGAAATTAAATGTGCAAAATAAACAGGTATGTGATTATTTTACAGTGCAGTCTTTATTCTGGACACCCAAGATTTTCTCTGAGTGAAGGTCTTGAGCCACACCTCTGTATATTTGGCTAAAAAATAGGAAATATGCGGAGTGTTTTATTGAAACATGTGCAAACACAGTATATTAGGAGTATATAAAGTTTGGGATCATTCTCATGCTAGAAAATGACACTGTTGCCCATCAAATGCTTTCTAGATAGTAGTGCAAAGTGGATCAAAACCTTATGGTACTTTTTTACCTTCATGATTTCATACATTTTTACAAGATCTCCAACACCACTGACTGAAATGCAGGTCCAAACCATGACAGAGCCTCCGCCGTGTATTACAGATTGCTGTAGTTGTACCTGTTGTACCTCTCTGCTGACCTCCTCCGTAGATACTGATGACTTGAACCAAATATTTCCAATTCATGATTCATCACTTCCATAAGCATTGTGGTGCCGTGGTTAGCACTGTTGCCTCAGAGCATTTCTGTGTGGAGTTTGCATACAGGGAGTGCAGAATTATTAGGCAAATGAGTATTTTGTCCACATCATCCTCTTCATGCATGTTGTCGTACTCCAAGCTGTATAGGCTCGAAAGCCTACTACCAATTAAGCATATTAGGTGATGTGCATCTCTGTAATGAGAAGGGGTGTGGTCTAATGACATCAACACCCTATATCAGGTGTGCATAATTATTAGGCAACGTCCTTTCCTTTGGCAAAATGGGTCAAAAGAAGGACTTGACAGGCTCAGAAAAGTCAAAAATAGTGAGATATCTTGCAGAGGGATGCAGCAGTCTCAAAATTGCAAAGCTTCTGAAGCGTGATCATCGAACAATCAAGCGTTTCATTCAAAATAGTCAACAGGGTCGCAAGAAGCGTGTGGAAAAACCAAGGCGCAAAATAACTGCCCATGAACTGAGAAAAGTCAAGCGTGCAGCTGCCAAGATGCCACTTGCCACCAGTTTGGCCATATTTCAGAGCTGCAACATCACTGGAGTGCCCAAAAGCACAAGGTGTGCAATACTCAGAGACATGGCCAAGGTAAGAAAGGCTGAAAGACGACCACCACTGAACAAGACACACAAGCTGAAACGTCAAGACTGGGCCAAGAAATATCTCAAGACTGGTTTTTCTAAGGTTTTATGGACTGATGAAATGAGAGTGAGTCTTGATGGGCCAGATGGATGGGCCCGTGGCTGGATTGGTAAAGGGCAGAGAGCTCCAGTCCGACTCAGACGCCAGCAAGGTGGAGGTGGAGTACTGGTTTGGGCTGGTATCATCAAAGATGAGCTTGTGGGGCCTTTTCGGGTTGAGGATGGAGTCAAGCTCAACTCCCAGTCCTACTGCCAGTTTCTGGAAGACACCTTCTTCAAGCAGTGGTACAGGAAGAAGTCTGCATCCTTCAAGAAAAACATGATTTTCATGCAGGACAATGCTCCATCACACGCGTCCAAGTACTCCACAGCGTGGCTGGCAAGAAAGGGTATAAAAGAAGAAAAACTAATGACATGGCCCCTTGTTCACCTGATCTGAACCCCATTGAGAACCTGTGGTCCATCATCAAATGTGAGATTTACAAGGAGGGAAAACAGTACACCTCTCTGAACAGTGTCTGGGAGGCTGTGGTTGCTGCTGCACGCAATGTTGATGGTGAACAGATCAAAACACTGACAGAATCCATGGATGGCAGGCTTTTGAGTGTCCTTGCAAAGAAAGGTGGCTATATTGGTCGCTGATTTGTTTTTGTTTTGTTTTTGAATGTCAGAAATGTATATTTGTGAATGTGGAGATGTTATATTGGTTTCACTGGTAAAAATAAATAATTGAAATGGGTATATATTTGTTTTTTGTTAAGTTTCTAAATTTCTAAATTATACAGAATTTAATTACTCTCGTGGCTAATGACAGAATTATCTTGTGTTTGTAGTGATAATAATACATTTCCCAAATCCTCCCAGAAAAAATAAATATCAACTCAAATAGTATCTATCCATCATCTACCCATTGCTCTTACCTACTTTTCTATTTTGGGGTAGCAAGGGGCTCAAACACATCTCAGCTGTCACAGGGAAAGAAGCAGGGCACACTTTGGACTGGTTGCCAGTCCATCACACGGCCAACACAAAGAGAGGCAGATAACCATTCATGCTCACATTCACACCAATTAGCCTAACAAGCATGCCTTCGGACTGTGGGAGGAAGCCAGGGTACCAGGGGAGAACCCACAGGCACAGGGAGAACATTCAAACTCAAACAGAAGGGCCACAGCTGGCCGGTGGTTTCTATAACCATGAACCCTCTAATTTACTACAGAATATTGTAAGCAAAAAAAGATTTTGAGTGAATTAACCATATTTATTTCTACTTGTTAAATTTCTCAGTGTGAAAGAAAATGACAAGAACCGGCTTATGTCAATGACAAGACCTGATACATAAATTTAGAAAGTAAATTAAATGCAGGAGGAGATTTTTGGTTTATAAAACTCAGACACTTAGTGAGATACAACAGTTTAGTAAGAGTACAATAAACTTATAGCAAAGAAAAATAATATTAATTAGAAATACTATAGGTTTTTATAAGCGCAGTCACATTTCCCCACTGTAATTTCTTAGACTTTGTTGAATCTTGTTCCGGTAATCACTGTGTGATTCATAGTTCTGATTTGTGTTTCCCAGACATGACAGAAGCACAGGAAGTAACTGCAGCCACTAGAAGACGGAATGACAGCAGGAGAGGAAGGGACAGAGAAAAGAAGCGAGAGAGAGGGAGCGTGAGGTGGTGTTAGGGGAAGACAAGCACTCGTGGGGGTCCCAGCTTTTAAATAATTCAGAGAGAGACTCACAGCACTCAGTAAGGGGAGGAGCACTGTCAGGTCAGCTCATTTCGCTGCAAAGCAGAGGTGGGGGGGGGGGGGGGGACGGAGACAACTGTACAGCAGAGGGAGGGAGGAAGAGTGTATAAAGATAGCATGAGAGAGAAAGACATGCAGAGGACTGTGGAAGAGTTTGCTATTGTGTGCATTTATGCATGAGTGTGTGTTTTGTGCACGTGTGTTCACCTGTGTGTATGTGTGCTTCAGTGACGAAAATAGACAAAACGAAGGAGAAACAGGTCGCATCCTCCTGGAGCTTTCTGGTTTCTCTGAGTCACTATGGCAACCGCCTCCTCCCTCCAACCCATACTTCTGTTTACTTGGCTTTTTTGTTCTCCCACGCTCTTTTGACTTCCTTCCTATACCCCTCCTATTTTTTTTTATTATTTGCTGGAGTCCCATTGCCCTTCATCGCCTCATTCAGTTATCATCAGATTGTGAGTCTCAGCTCTTTCTCAATACCTGGACACATTTGTTTCTTAACTCCCATTTCCAACTTCATTCTGTGCAGCTCAAACATGTATCAGAGGTCACTTTAGTGGCCTAAAGGGTAGAGGAGAAGGACACACAGAAGCTTCAACTTTCAGACTACAGACCATCCTGGGGAGCCTGTGTGAGCATAGGGATAGATGTGGGGTGTGGCAGATACCAGAGCATCAAATTAACACACACACACACACACACATACACCAGCCAGATTTCTTATGATTTACATTTACAGTTAATATTTTTCAATATAAGCAAAGCCAATGTAATCACATTTATAGCTTATGTTTAATTATCACAGCTACCACCTCCACAAATATTTGACCTGGAACTTTAACTAAACATAAAAATCCCATTAAGTTTGACAAGGTTACTATAAAGTCAGACTGAGCAGCACTCACACCCTAGGAGTGCTTATTATTACATTATGGTGATGTGTGACTTTGTGCGGGGAACACACTGGCATCTCTAACTGAGATACGGAGTCTCAGAGGTATGCCACATCCTCTCCTCCCGTCTCCCCCACCCTGCTCCTCTGTGCTCCCCCCCCCTCACCCGCCCCCGCCTTTCCAGCGCGTCGCATCGCTGAGCAACGTTCAGCACGGACAGCCAACACAACTCAACCGAGCGCAGAGCTTACCTGGCTCCGCCGAGATATTTATATTTTCCCCTGAAAAGGAAGGAGTGTGGACCGCCGGAAAGCCCTGACGTCACCATGACAGGTAGACAGTAAAGAAAGGTTTGAGTCGTGAGGAGGAGAGGGAGTTAACACTGCGGGCGTGCTTGAGGTGGCCTCTCCATCCCGGTGAACACCTTTCCGGGCTCGGAGCGCGCTCGGACGCACGTTTGACGATGGACGACTGGCCGCCGCTGCTGCTGCTGGCTCTCCTCGCCATTGCGGGAGG